GGGGGAGACAGCTGCCAAGCTTGGAAGGCTAAAGAACTTGTGTCCAAAGCTAAGTAAAAAATAGAAGTCTGTGGTGTTTTGATGTTGCTTGTAATTATTAGAATTGGGAGCACTGGCTGTTGGGAGTCTGAAAGGACAGGAAACTGGAAGGAGGGGGGAGGAGTTGAAGAGACTGAGGGAGAGCTACTGAGGGTGCAGCAGCAGCTTGGAAAAGAGATTTCTACTTTAAAAAATAAAGTCCTGTTGAAGTTTGTTAGTACCTTGCCTGGTTACAACAACATTTTGGCGACGAGGATGGATCTTCCGCCTCTGAACCCACTTGCACCCCTTCTACAAAGCCCAGGTGAGCCTCCATTTGCTTTTACTGCCTGAATCCATATGTTTGAGACTTATCTGCTTACAATCAGTGCTACAGAGATTTCTGAAGTAAGAAAGTGTGCTCTGCTAATCCACTGCCTTAGAGCAGAAGGACAGCATATATTTTACATTTTTCCCCTTGCAGACAATAAATGAGAGACTCCACTCACTGCATTAAATAACTTTTTTGTGCCAAAAGTGAGTGTAGTAGCTAATCACTACAGATTTCGCCAGCGTGAGCAGAAACCAGGGAACACTATAATGCAGTATATTGCTTCCCTGAGGAGTCTGATTGTAACTTGTGACTTTGGGAATATGGCAGATGAGATGATTAGAGAACGTGTAAGAGAACGTTTACTTCTAGAACCACAACTTACACTAGAAAAAGCAACAACCATTGCTACCCAGATTGAGTCAGCTACAGCTGAAGCCAAAATAATGAGCATGGATACAGGAGGAACAGTCCAGGCTGTGACTCCTTTGCAGAAAAGTTCACTTTCGCTGCAGACAAACAATTACAAGAGGAAAACTAATGAAAAACCACCAAATCAGCAAATTCAAAATACAGTAAAAGCTTGCTTTCGCTGTGGATCCCCACAACACCTTGCAAGCTACACAGGATGTCCGGCAAAAGTAGCTCAGTGCTATCACTGCAAAAAGATTGGGCATTTTGCTAAAGTATGTCGCAGCAGCCAGTTCAATCAACAGGTGCATGCTGTTACAATACCAGATGTTACTGTGCTGAGTGTGGACAAAATCACTACTGCACATATTCCAGAACAAATAAAGGGCACGGTAAATGTTTCCGCCATACCCTCAGGCGAATCACACTCTATTCAGCTAACGTTGGACACTGGCTCTGCAGTATCTATACTACCTGATTCCATCTATTTGCATTACTTCAAAGACGTGCCTCTTACTGAACCAAACTTCACTTGGTGTGTTATTTGAAAAACCATATTTCAGTACATGGCTGCCTGCCAGCAACAGTTACTTTTGGTGATTGCTGTGTAACAATGTTCTACATTGTCCACAAAGGCACTCCTATCCTTGGCAGAGATTTATTGGCTGTTTTAAATCTCAGGGTAGTTAATGGACGAATTGATCTTCCTCAGCAAAGCACACTTGTGGTACACACACCAGTTTCAGCTGGGACCCAACACTAGGTTGAGGAGAAACTCGGCTGTGGTTATGGGTTTCTGCATGAAGTTAAAATGCGGAATAATGTGATGCCTGTATGACAGAAATTACAGCGCTTACCATTTTCAGTCAGGGAAGCTGTTTCAGAGGAACTTAGAAAACTTGTTCAAGAGGACATTACTGAAGAGATTAACTCCTCGGAATGGGTTTCACCTATAGTACTGACGCAGAAGAAGGGGGGAGGCATTTGCCTTTGAGTGGACTTACGGGAGCCAAATAAAGGTATTGTGATTGACAGCCATCCTCTTCCTCACATAGCAGAAGTATTTGCAGAATTCCTTGGAGCAAAGATGTTTTCTACTCTTGATTTGCAGAGCGCATACCACCAGGTTATGTTGCATGAAGATAGCAGAGACCTCACAGCATTTATTACACGAAGGACTATTCCGTTTTAAACATGTTCCATACGGTCTTGCATCAGCCCCAAGTGCCTTCCAAAAAATGATGTAATTGATTTTGAAGAATCAACATGGAGTTCAGTGCTATTTGGATGATATTAATTGTGTTTGGAAATACTTCAGAGGAGCATGACAATAATCTGCAGTCTGTACTAAACTGCATCAGCAAAGCAGGCCTCAAACTCAATAGATCCAAAAGCAAATTTAGACAAACTGAACTCTCCTTTCTGGGGCATACAATTTCACAGGCTGGACTAAAACCTGATCCGGTTAATATCCTGGCAATTTCAAATGCTCCTCCTCCAACAGATTTGCAAACCTTACGTTCTTTCTTGGGTCTTACCACCTGGTATGCAAAATTCATTCCCAATTATGCTTCTGTCATTGAATCATTACGAGAATTACTATGGGGAAGTTCAACCTTAATGCGGACAACGGATGCACAAGCTAGTTTCAAAATGGTGAAAGACTTGATTGTACATAGTCCAGTACTTGCACTATTCAGTCCTGCATTGCCCACAATTGTAACTACTGATGCTTCTGATTATGGATTTGGGGCTGTCCTCACACAACTTCATGAGGACAACACAGAAAGGACTGTTGCATTTGCTTCAAGGACACTAAGTAATGCTGAGAGAAAATATTCTGCAGTCGAAAAAGAAGCACTTGCTTGTGTCTGGGCTACTGAAAAATGGAGAACTTACCTGTGGGGCCGCATGTTCAAGTTGCGCACAGACCACAACCCTTTGACGATGTTGCTCACCACAAAAGGACTGGGAAGAGCAGGATATGGTATTGCTCGATGGTCTGCAAGGCTACTCTCTTTTAATTATGAACTGGAATATAAGCCTGGAAACCAAAATGTGGTCGCTGATTGCCTTTCTCGCCTGCCTTCGCCTTCACCAGATGGTCCACCAGAGGATGAGGATGTAGTAGTTGCGCTTATTACAAGCACTCTTACTGCAGTTACAAGAGAACAATTTCAAGCTGCTTGTTCAGCGTGTCCAGTTCAACAAAAACTACGGGAATTTCTGACAAAGAGATGGTCCAGTCACCCTAAAAACCTTGACCCAGTTTTGCTGCCTTATTTTAGATTTCGGTATGAACTTTCATTGCTCAATGGCTGTGTGCTATGAGGTACACACCAGCTACTTGTGCCAGAAGAATTACAATCAAAACTCATACAGTTGGCACATGATACTCATCAAGGAATTGTCAGAATGAAACAATGATTACGGGATCTGTATTGGTGGCCAGGGTTGGACTCTCAAACTGAAGCACTCATAAAACTGTGTCACTTGCCAAATGCATGATAAGACAGCAGTGACATGTACCCCTCCATTACAGCCTGTTCCTCTTCCTGAATCTGCATGGGAAAAAGTGGCGATTGACATTGTAGGACCCTTTGATACTGCTCCAACTGACTGTCATTATGCCATCACCTTAATAGACTATTTCAGTAAATGGCCTGAGGTAGCGTTTACATCGCAAATCTCTTCTGCTAGAGTAATTAAGTTCCTCTCTTCAGTTTTTAGCAGGGAAGGTAACTCCAAAGAACTGGTTTCAGATAATGGTAGTCAATTTACTTCCCTGGAGTTTGAAACTTTTCTAGCAAAGAGGAACATTTTACACAGAAGGTCATCCCTATCCTACCCTGAAGCCAATGGGGAAATCAAACGGTTTAACAGAAGTTTGAAAGAGTTTGCAAATGGCTAAATTGGAAGGGCGATTGTGGATAACCTTCACAACTGATTTCTTGCAAGCATACCGGGCTACACGACATGCCACAAATGCAAAGATCACCCACAGAGTTACTGCATGGGAAACAGATGAATACTAAACTGAACATTGCTGGATTGTTAAAGGCACGACCTGAGGCCCCAACTGAGGATGATGTGAGAAAAACAGTTGAACAGAGCCAAGCAAAATATAAGGCTTTCACAGACAAGCGTCGGGGTGCTAAAGAACCAAAGTTTCAGTGTGGTTCCTTCGTTAGAGTATGAAAACCTGGAATTTTATGCAAAGGGGACGATAAATTCACAGCTCCTCTTAAAATCATAGAGAAGAAGGGACCTTACACCTATCGACTTTCTGATGGGCTGGTATGGAATGCTTCTTATCTTGCACCTGTCTGTGCACCAAGAGGAGATTATGCCAACACCCAGTCTGCATTGGATGACTTCACCGTAGTATCAACACAACAAGACATTGCACTGGAACCAGGGCTTGAGAGACGGCCTGTCAGACCCAGACGACCACCTGTCTGGACTAGAGACTATGTTATGTAGTATTTATAGTGTTTTTAGTGTAATATTTCTGTCAACAGTATAGTGCCTTGTTTCCTATTTGTTCCTGTGGTTAGAACAACAATGTTTATTGTAATTGGGAGAGTTTCTTAAGAGAGGAGGGAGTGTGGTGTTTTGATGTTGCTTGTAATTATTAGAATTGGGAGCACTGGCTGTTGGGAGTCTGAAAGGACAGGAAACAGGGGGGAGTGGGGAGGAGTTGAAGAGGCTGAGGGTGCAGCAGCAGCTTGGAAAAGAGGTTTCCACTTTAAAAAATAAAGTCCTTTTGAAATTTGTTAGTACCTTGCCTGGCTACTACAACAAAGTCCCCTCCCCCACCCCACCCCACACACACATTCTCTCTTCTGAGGTTGGAGTGAGCCTCATTGTTTTAGAGTAGGATTAAGGCCCTGATCCCTACAAGGACAGAGCATCTCCTGCGGGGCAATTATTAAAAGAGGTCTTTGTATATAAGGTCTTTTAGAATGGAAGCCCTTCAGGGGTCGAACTTTTCTTGTCTGTGAAGCACTGAGTACACTGTTATTACTGGATGCTCCAACTCCCCATGATTAATATTCCCTCTCTGACAGTAAGCCCAGGCTTGAAGAATAAGCTTCATTTTTACTCCATTCTGAGCTCTGCTGTGGAGTTTATCTTCACACATCGGCACTGCAAGGAGAGCCAATGAACGGAAGGCATAGCTGCTAAATCTGTTTCCTCAATGTTTGCCTTGGCTCTCAGCACAGGAAGCCTAGTGTCATGAAAAGGCAGAAGAAGGAGCCTCTCTACCTCCAAGGAGCTAATCAGTCAGGAGCAGGCGGAGTTGGGGTGGAGGAGAGGTGGGGAAGTGGAAGAGGGAACAGAGACACTGGCTGGCAAGGGCACACTGTCACAGAAGGAAGCTCCCTGCGTCTGCAGCTGGTCTGACAACAGGATGGATGGAGTGAGCGAGCTGTGTGAGCGATGAAAGCAAAAGCTGACATGAATTGTTTAGGGAAGACTTTTTGTGCCTTCGTGCTGCTCACCGTCTCTGTGGCCATGGTACAAATAGGTAAGTTAGACTTCTCTTTGGGACCAAGCAGCTGCTATGGATCGAGGCAAGGGGAATGTGCTAGGATGTTTCCTTCACGTAAATGCTGTACTTATCAGTGCTGCTTTCATTAAAGGACAGAGTTGATTATGTATTGTTACTGGCATGTTAGACCTGCTCTTCATTCACTACATCTGCCTGTGATCACCAGGCCTATTGTCACTAGGCATGTGCCCTGTATCTGGTTTACTTAGCAACTGGGATTGATTCACAGTTAACAACATTATCAGCTGCCAAAAGACTCTTCCCTGTGTCTTTAAATTCCTGTCGTCCAAGAGGCTGATTTATTTAACAGACTGTAGGTCACACAGGGAATAGTGTGTGCAGCCCCGTCTGTGAACCCAAAGTCTTAGCCAGGGCGGGGGTCTCTTCTGGGTTTTGTTAGGAAGGCTGGTCATAGCTCCCATGGGGGAGGGTGGAGATCATAAATTTCATTCTGAGCACTGGTGGGAGATCCTATTAGAGAGTGGCAAGCAGCCCTGAGGATCCATTCTGAGAGCTGGTGGGAGTTTTACCATAAGGAACACCTGTCAGTGTTTGATCAAAAACAGCTTCTGTAGTGAAAACAGTATCATCTAAGGCCATGCTTCCTAACCTTTTAGGTCAGCTGTCTCAGTTTTATTAGCCTTTTCGCTGCTCCAGCTACTGTCCACCAGCTCCCATTCACCTGTATTTGTAGAGCTCATGATCTTCCAAGCCCCACTCTCGTGAGTGCAAGGCGCATCCCCTGGGCTCACCACAGAAACTCATCACTAAAGCAGGGAGAGGCAGTCTCATGCACCAGTCACAAAAGCCTGAAGTGTTAATGCTAAAGTACACGTACTGGCAATGAGGAATTGGTCTAATGTGCTGAGCTGTTCAAACACAGGCTCCAAAGATAGGTTTCACATCTCTAGTGCCTTCCATCAGAGGAGTTCAAAACATTTACAACCATTGTTTAATTCAGCTTCAGCACCCCTGAGAGGTTAGGTTAGTACCTCGTCCACATTTTACAGATGGAAATACTGAGACACAGGAGTGTTAAGCAGCTCGTCCAAGGTATAACAGTGATCTCAGAGTCGGGGTAAAACCCCAGGGACTTAAATAGCGCTGGTCAGGAAATGAGGATTTTTTTCTAGGAAAATTTTGACATAAATAAAAGAATTCATTTTCATTGAAATTTTCTGAAGATTTCAACTTTCAGTTAAAAACCTGAAAACCTCTCAGCCACAACCCAAACCTTCTCAGTCAGAAGGTTTTTGATTTTTTTTTCTTTTTGACAAAAAGATGAAATTTTCCATGGAAGGCAGATAAGTTTGCACAAGAACAACTGTTTAATCAAAAACCCAATTTTCCACAGAAAAACAGGAAACAGAAATTTTCCCACAGGTACTTACCCTTGAGTGCCTTGTCCCAGACCAGGCTGTTTCTCTCTCTGCATAAGGTTGAATGCAGGAGGCTGCCTCAAAGCACATAGTAAAACTCAGGCAGCTCCTCTGCATTTCCTCCATTCTGGCCTCCGCTCCCTCACAGGCCACAGGCTTAGTGGCGTAGGTGGGCCCAGTGCACGTACACCCATCATGGACACATCTGTCCCCACAGAGTACCAAAATTATTGGGAGCCCAGAGTCCCAGCCAGCTTCTGGGGGCCAGGAGTGGCTGTAAAATGAAACAATGACATTTGAAAAAGGGTGCACTTTACAGGCTCAGCCAGGCCTTAACTACATGAACCTTTTTCTTAAATCTCCTACTGCTGCACTAGTTTTGGTGACAAGGGAAGCACGAGCTTAGGCAAGGCGCAGGCGGTTTAACAGCTACGGTGTCTAGTCCTGGTCTGAGCTGTGTTAGATCAGTGGTTTTCAAACTGCGGGTCACGGAATGGAAGGCGGTGGCTCTGGTCAGCACTGCCGCCCGGGCCATTAAAAGTCCTGTCGGTGGTGTTGCCCAGCTAAGGCAGGCTAGTTCTGACACTGTGCTGTGCCCCGGAAGCAGCCAGCAGTGGTCCGGCTCCAAGGCGGGGCAGGGGGCACGGGGCTCTATGTGCTGCCCCCCGCCCCAAGCACTGGCTCTGCATTCACATTGTCCGGGAACCGGCCAATGGGAGCTGAGTGCGGGCGAGAGCCAGACCTGCTGCTGGCTGCTACCAGGGCACAGCGTGGTCCGTGATGCCAGGACAGGCAGGAAACCTGCCTTAGCACCTCCGCTGCACCGCTGACCGGGAGCCACCTGAGGTAAGCCCGCACCCCAACCCCCTGCCCTGAGCCCCCGCCAACCCAGAGCCCCTTCCTACACCCCAAACAACTCATCCCCAGCCCCACCCAAGAGCCTGAACCCTCGGCCCAGAACCCTGACCCCCTCACACACCCCAACCCCCTGCCCCAGCCCAGAGCCCCCCCCACACCCTGAACCCCTCATTCCTGGCCCCACCCCGTAGCCCTCACCTGCACCACAACCCTCTGCCCCAGCCCTGAGCCCTCCCACACCCCAAACCCCTCATCCCCAGCTCCGTTGAGTCACGGGCATCAACAATTTTCTTCAACTGGGTCGCCAGAAAAAAAGTTAAAACCAGTGTTAGATGACACATCATTTAAAATGCTGGTGGCCAGGAGAGCTGCAACAAATTTGTATAGTGGGGGTGTTGAGAGCCATTGAAGCACCTTGTGAACCCTGTATATGATGGAAACCACTTCAAGCCACTGGGTGCAGCCACACCTCAGACACCCCTAGTTCCAGCGCCTATGTTGGTGGCTGGTCTATACTAGTGATTTCACCATGGCAGGCACCAGAGCTGCAGTACTGGGAAATTGTAAGGAAAGTGCCAGTGTAGAGACAGCCTCAGTGACTTTCCTTACTGGGTTAAGCAGAGGAACACCCCAAATATCTGGATATGAACGTCAAGGGAAGAGTGAGCAGTGTGGGGAGGTGTTCCATGGGGAGTTCTTTTAAGGTTGATGCAGCCCTGCCATCCTCCCAGCCACCTGCTCTCATTCATATTGGAACTCTACTCCTGATTTAAGATTTCATAGGATGGGGGAAATATTTAGATAAACTGCCTCTGTCTTCATTCCACTCTTGCTTTAGTGCCCCCTTTCTTTAGTGCACTGGCACCCTGCTGTTTATTTTAACATTGAAAACGTACACATTAAAGGGGGGGGGGAACATTTGATTATTTTTCTTACCCAACCATTTAAATAGTGTTCTGTATTTTTTTTAAATCATCTGAGACTTTTTTAGGTGATTTCCCCCCCTCCACACATACACACACAAATTCTTTAAAGGCAGATCCCGTTTTTAGAACTTCAGAGTTGAAGTGTACATCGTCCTGACCAAGGACTGTTGTGCTCGCATCAGTCTCATTTGAAAACCCCAGCAGTAAGGAGGTTTGAAAATAGCATCCTGACCACATAAAATATTGTATTTTCTTTAACTCTGACATATGAGTGTGGATGTACACACTGTTTGAAAACTCACCGCTCTTATTTTTTGTTTTTGAAGACGTGATCATTCACATGTACAAAAAAAGGCAGGAAAGTCAGAGCCCTTATTATTTTTTCATATGGCAGCTTCATTATTAGAAAAATCCAAATAAATTATTATGTTAAAAAACCAACTTCAAAACAATTATGAGTGAGATTTTTAACTGCACAAAAGTGAGGGCATTAAGGACAGCACAGTCACCTTAACTCTGCCAGCTTGTACCTATAAATTACAACAGGGTCTTTCTTTAAATGATCACAAAACATACCATAGGTAGTCAGACACACAAAATCCTACATATTTGCATCTATGATTCCAAGAGAAGGTGCAACTTCAACATAAACAAACAGAACAAAATGCATTTTAGTCCTTTCCTTGGAGGAGGAGAATTGAAATTTAGATTGAGCCTATGCAGCATCATAGAAAATGCTCCATGTTCATTTCTTCAGTGAGAAAAAAAATCGAAGGCCCTTTGTAGCTGTTTGGTAGGCAGTATGTCACATTTAAGCCATGTGAGGATTCCCCTATGCTGGAAAAATACTCACTTGTCTGCTTTAGTGCCCATTGTACTCTACTGGAACAGCACTTAGTGAGGCATGGTGATCTAGCTCCATAATTCTGACTTTCTTGAGTTTGTCTGGTTAAAATGTCAGCCTCCATGGATTAAAAAAAATATTTTCCTGCAAAGTAAAAAGACAAAAATAATTTAAAGTAAAAAAATAAAATCTATTTCAATAAGTGAGAAAAACACACACACATACACAGTGCTGCTTTTATATGAATCTTTAAATGGAAGGAATAGATTTTTCTTCAAAGGTTGGAAATGGATTTCCTCTCTGGACTGAAAACAACCAGGACACATTTTGGCCTTAAAGGGAACTATTTCTGAACATTATAAGCCAATAAAAATGCCATCTTAATTAGAACAATAATGGGAATGGTGAGGGTGAAATTCATGAGCCAAGCTGGAGTAAAAGCTACAGAGGAGTTTGCACACTAGGGCTGGCTCGGGTCCCCACTCGCATCAGTCCTTGCACACTTCATCTGCACAAAGCCTGATTAGAAGCAGTGTTACTACTAGTGTCATAATAAAAGCATAGATTCATATCACAAAGCCTGATGTGGGCAGAATACAGGGACGCATCCGCATGAGTAAACATCAGATTTCTTCTTGTGTTCCATCAGCTTGCTTGGTGATGTACAGAACATGGAGACGCAGACCTTGCCTTATATAGTTTACAGTTTAGGGGCCAGATCCTCAGCTGGTGTAAACTTTTAACTCCACTGATTTCAATTCAGGTATGATGATTTACATCCATTGAGGACCAGCCCTATGTGTTGTGGAGAAAGAACGATTCCAACCCCATGACACTACGCTGGCTGTCTGGATGACAGACCCATGCTAAAGTGGGGCCGCAATCCTTTTTTCTTTTAGCCTTTGTCTTGATTAAAACATAGCCAACCTTTCCTAGCCTAGACATGGCCTGAGGGTTGAGTTATGTGCT